AATATAACAAAGGTGTTAAAAACTAAGCTCTTTGTGAGGAAATAACCAACTCAAGTTTAAGGTTTGGTTCCTGATGGCAAACAATGAAGGTTTGCATTAACAAGGTTGCCTGGAAGTATTGTGAATACAAGGGCTAAATAAATGCTGTGATGACTCTCTGTGTCAAATAAATAAAGCTATGCATGAAGCATGAAAGCAAAGAAGAACGCTAACAAATGGTGCAGTAAATAAAGGTTGATTGCAACAGGGATGTTTACTGTGACCAACAAAACAAAATAACACAGTGATTGTATGCTTGCAAATACAAAATGTGATGTAAATGTAAAAATGTAAATATGTAATGGTGTGAGGCGTGATATAGCTAACCATTGTACATGACAACATGTGGCTGACATATTAACTTGATGCCAGTATGTAAGAAAGTTTGAAGTGCTGAAGCACAAACTTGGTATAGCAGCTATGACTTAAAGGGGGAGTGTCAGTATTCTGTGTATGTTAAGTCATGCTGTAGATCATAGGCATCTAACTGACAGGAGCTGACAGCTCTAGGTGTCATAAGAGCTGGCTCTGACTGGTTCTGGCTGGGTATTGCTAGAGCTAATTAGCACTGAGTCACAGTGACTCAGCATTGGCTGTGATTGGCCAGTGGTTGTATATATTCAGTGACGAACTGTACTGTTCATTCCTTCTTGGAATGCGAGCGCAGCGGAGCATTACGTCACTCTGTGTAAAGATTTGGTGAGAGGCTTGTATAATAAACTGTATATTATTTGTACATAAGCCTGAGAGACTCCAGTCTTTATTGGATACCATTGCACCCATGTTTGGTCTGCTGTGGGCCGACACCGCGTAATATTGACAGCCTGCCCTTCTGGGCATGCTCACTGGGGCTCCTGGGCATGCTCAGTTGGGCCAGGCACGAAAATCCTTCTAGAAGAGCTTGCTAGGCACCGGCAGATCCAGCGCAGGCGCACTAGATCCCATTGGTGTGAATGCACAGATGACCACTCGAAGATCACCAGTTACTGGTAAGCAACCTGTTTTTTTTAGCTGTGCCTGGTTTGAAATTTATTTATTTGTATGTCTTATGGTGTCTTGTTATTTGATATTTGTTTAACTGGAATGGTACACCACTTTGGGTACTGTCTCTCTGGCATATAAATTGGCATTTAATGATATAAATTGAAAATACGCTTCCCCACCATGCCAGCACAAAGATAAGCCATTTGGTCAAACATACAATTACCACCAATTTCAGTAGTACACATGCAACTATGCACTAGATCGTAATTGTGAAGATCACTCCGGACACCCTGAGGAAGGGCCTTCTCGGTTTTGGTGCCAAAACTTTGGAACCCCCTCCCCATGGAGACTTGTCTGTCTCCCTCTACTGCTCTCTTCCACCATCATGTGAAGACTTTTTTGTTTGGTTTGGCATACCCCCAACAAAACTGTTACTGGCCCTCTATCCTGGCTGTGGTGTTATGGGTGTTTGTGTGTTTTTATTGAATTATTTTATATATACTTTATTTTAAATGCTGTTTTAATGTTGGCTAACTTGGGTGGAAGGATGAAACATAAATATAATAAATAAATACATCTGAATGGCTAATTTAATTAAGCCATTAAAAACCCCATTGACAACTGCCTTTCCCCCCTACATGTGTTATCAAGAAAAAGGGTGTCATCTTGCCCTGAGCTGGATAGCCCAGGCAAACTTGATCTCATCAGATCTCAGAAGCTAAGCAGGGCCAACCCCGGTAAGTATTTGGATGGGACACTTCCCAAGAAAACCAGGTCCGGGAGGCAGAGATAGGCTATCAAGCCACTTCTCTGAATGTCCTCCATGCCCCAAAAGGAGTTGCCAGAGGTCACTATGACTTTCAGGTATGGGTGCACACACACGCAAAAAAAGAAAATGGGTGCCATCTTAAATTTGCATATGTCACAGTTATATACAGTAATGAAAACCCTTTTCTGTATAACCCTTTTTTAAGGATTGTCTTACATTCAGGGTAATCTCCCTTTCCAGTAAATATAATATCTTCACTATTTTGTATTAACACTTAAGAGAAAATAAAGGTTTTTTATGGATAGTTCTAAGAAAATGAAACAATTACCTATTGGATTAAAGACGTGCATCCTCATGTCAGTAGGCAGCTTCTTCTCACCTACATGGATATTCTCAATCTTCTGTTCAGTGGTGTTAGATAGTGTTACTTGGACAGATACCATTTTATCACCATAAATGCATGGCTGTCTTGAAAAGTGATAATGAGCTGCTAATCCTTTTCCACTCATTCGATGTAGCAGTTCATGGGTTTTCATTGGCACAAAGACTGGAGTGCTGATCTGTGTATATGAAAAGTTAGAAGTTAGTGAATATGTTGTTGGGGAAACTCTTAACAAATACACAATGTAGGTAAATCAGGATTACATTCTACGTGTAGCCCAAAACATTCCGGTATGTAGGATCTGACTGCTTATTGTGGTCAATTGAAAACTTCTACGATAGAGCTTCTCAAAATGTGGGTCATGATCACTCAACTAGCAGATAGGCTGCAGCATAAGAAGAACTTTCAGGCAAATAGATGTAGTTTATCACACATCCCCAAAACACTGTGGAAAAGTTACCAAAACACAAACAAATCAACGACAGCTAAAAACAGTTGGGGAACAGGTGTTGTTTCAGAAGGAATGCAACAAAGCAGCCTTAGGACTGGCTTCAAGGAACAAGAACAGCTGGGATAATGGGGCATGGTGGGATACTCTGGAACCTTTTCAGATTGGTAATATTGTGTCATCATGATCTGAATTTCAAAATATGCTGTGTCTGAGTTCTAGTTCAGTGTAAAAGAGGAATGTAGCTTGCTGTACAAACAAACAATTAGGACTTTAGTTACATTTACAACCTCAAAGCTTTGTAAGAACGGTTTCCTCTGCCGCTGGATCCATGAGAACAAAATACCCCTCCAGAACAAATTAGGAGCTGCTCCTACTTCTAATAGGATGTCCCAGTTACAAAAACTGGGCAGTTCAGGCACATTTTCTCACCAAGCTCCATACACAGCATCTATTCACACACAGCAGCAACTTTGCCAAATATGAACACATGCTGATATGTTGTGACGAGCTGAATTGGGATCTATGTTTTGCTTAATCCAGTCATTCTCAGACTGTCTGAAGGGGGAACACTTTTAAACTTACTGTAAGTTTCAGGACTTCCAAGTAACTTTCTCTGTTCCCAACATAAAATGCAGGAATCTCAAATTAAGCTATATTTCATTGTCACAGAGAAAAAAATTCCACATGTGCTAAAACAATGCCAAGAGCCATTTCTCCAATTCCCTACACCCATCCTGGCCTCGTCACCCATTAGTGAGAGAGTTGTGACCCACTTTTGGGTCCAACTCAGAGTTTGAGAATCACTGGCTCTGTTAGGTCCAATACTGCTATGTACTTACAAATAGAATCTTATGTGAGATCTTTGCATTTTATTTTGGGGATGGGGAAGTAGTATGGTGTTTTATTACAAGTAGATTCCAAAAGGCAGTTCAAAAGAAGGCCACACTTGAAAAAGTTTGAGAACTACTGCCATAAAACAGTATGTGATGTTAAAATAATATACAGGAAAATACTGAAAACATTTGACAATAAAATCAGCAAATACATTATTCTAGAACTTTCTCCTCTTTCAGAAAGAGCAGAAAGGAAAGAAGAGACCATAAGTCAGTGCTATAGCACATGGTTTGCATGCAGAGGATCCCTGATTTATTTATTTATTTTATTCAATTTATACCCCGCCCTCCCCGCTACGCGGGCTCAGGGCGGCTTACAAGGGCTTACGCAAATATAAAACATATGTAAAATCATTTAAAATCATCACAGTACAGATAACATTATAAACAGTTAATAAATAAAGTGCTCTGGATGTTATTTCACAAGATGGCGTAACAGCTCTATTGCCACTACTCTGTTCTTCCGCATCATCCGCTCCAGGGAAACACTGGTGTTCCCTCGTCCAGGGCCAGGTAAGATGGAACAATAATGATGGTAGTGGCGGCTCCTACTCATACGCCTGGTGGAAGAGCTCCGTCTTGCAGGCCCTGCGGAACTGTACAAGGTCCCACAGGGCCCGGATCTCCATCGGGAGCTCATTCCAGCAGGTAGGAGCCGCCACCGAGAAAGCCCTGGCCCTGGTAGCGGCCAGCCTGGCCTCTCTGGGACCTGGCATTGCCAGGAGATGTTGCGTCCCAGACTGAAGTGCTCGCGGGGGAACATATGAGGAAAGGCGGTCCCTTAGGTAAGCTGGACCCAGACCATATAGGGCTTTAAAGGTAAGAACCAGCACTTTGAAGCGAATCCGGTACGCTATTGGCAGCCAGTGCAGTGCTTTCAGCACAGGCTGGATGTGGTCCCTACTAGGAAGACCCATCAACAGCCTGGCCGCAGCATTCTGCACGATCTGCAGCTTCCGGATTTGCGACAAAGGCAGCCCCATGTAGAGAGCGTTACAGTAGTCTAGCCTCGAGGTGACCATCTCATGGATCACTGTGGCCAAGTCACTGCAGTCGAGGAAGGGAACCAACTGCCGCACCAGCCGTAGATGGTAAAAGGCTGACTTGGCAGTGGCTGCCACCTGAGCCTCCATAGTTAACGAGGAGTCCAGGAGCACTCCCAAACTCTCAACCTCCGGCGCTGGCACCAAAGGCACCCCATCGAAGGTCGGGAGAGGGAGCCCCAACCCCAGACCACCACGACTCAGCCCCAGGACCTCCGTCTTCGCCGGGTTTAACTTTAGCCTGCTCAGTTGGAGCCAACCAGCCACGGCCTGCAATGCCCGGTGCAGATCTTCAGGGACAGAGCTCGACCGGCCGCCCAACATCAGATAGACCTGGTGTCATCAGCGTATTGGTGACACCCAAGCCCATGCCTCCGGGCAATCTGGGCAAGGGGGCGCATGTAGATGTTAAACAGTAATGGGGAAAGAACAGATTCAGTTCCTGGCATCTCCAGGTAAAATAATTTGGGAAGTGTAACTACTACATTCTTCTGCTTCTGGCTTTTGAAAGCATATCAATACTGGGACAGGTGAACTAATGGTCTGACAGTACAATGTCCGCCTGACATGTTCAAAATTGGACGATGCAGTTTCTCCAAATGTGCAGAAAATGTAATCATTATAAATCTTTAACTAATTGTTGCCATATTTACAACAAGAGTACTTTTGAACAATCTATTATTCTAAGAAGATTTGACAGTATGGACTATATTTTAAATAAATATGGTATGTTGAAAAATACATAGCATAAAAATCCACTGAAGTATGGAGGCTAGAAAATAACTGAATTCTGAAAGGGGGGGGACCCAGGAGTAAGGTCCAAGTGATATATCATCTAAATAAATAATACATCTCTAATTTATATTTTAATAATTATGTCATATACAAGTGGGGGCCCACAAGAAACTTGGAGGGAGGGGGTCATTCCTTCACCTATGCTTACTTCCTTCCCTCATCCACCCTTCTTTCCTCACACCTTCAATGTTAGTCTCCGCCCCCTTTCTCCCACACTCCCTTTTCTGGCAATTCTCTCACCCCCTTTTTCTCCCCTAGCCCCTTCTATATCTATCTCTCCCCTCTACTCCCCAGCCTTTCTCAATGTCCCACTCTCATCCCCCCTTCCCAAACTGTTCCTCTCTTTCTCTCCCCTTCCCTCAAACAATCCCTGCCTATTCTTTCTCTTTCTCTCCCCACTCCCTCAGACAATATCCTTCCCATTCTTACTCCCACTTTGGAAGTCACAGCGACTGTGGTAGGGCCCCTGGTAGCTGTTGCATCAGTCGCAGGGCCCCTGGGAGCCATGGCAACAGCCTGGTTGTTAGGAGCCACATTGACTGTGTCAACTCCCACCCCTGAGAGCTGCTGCACTGGCTGCAGGAAGATCTGCTAATGGTAGTACTCTGTGCCTGCGCATGCAACATTTTTACTTTTGGGGGGGATTTAAACCCCCCCCCCCATATTTCTTTAAAGTTTTCAGATTTTTTTACAAATTTGGGGACAGGGAGTTTAGAGAAAAATCTCCTTTCTCTCAGTGTGGCCCCAATCCATGGATTTAGATGTCCACAGATGGGGCCACACTTGAGAAATAGACATATAGATTAGACGCCTGGCCTCTCACACTTCCTCAATTATTCATGAGGGTATATCAACTGATTAACTACCCAACCATGAGAAAACTGATGAGCTGATTACTAGAAAAACCTTAAAACAGAACATTTTTATTTCACATGAAGTGTGTAATGGCATCCAATGCTTCAGAATAAGACAAAATATTCACAAGACAATGGATGGCTAAAACAATGCTACCCTCTCATGTATGAAGCAGGATCTCATTGGTAGAGACAAGACAATACTTGTATCAGCAGTGAGGAATGTATATATGCTTGCAAAATTCAAGCTGAATTTACTACAGAGAAAATTGATTAATCTTGTGACTGACTGATTAAAGAATGTGTGAGAATTAAATCTCAATCTGATATAAGACTGACATCTGGACTTCTTCCTTTTACTGGGATCAGTACTTTTACTGATCAGTACTTAAGTCACTGTGGCTGACATCCCATGCCTACTGTTACCTCCGCAGCATTTTCAAGAGTAAGAGTGATGGAAGCATACACATGGCAAGATGTAGAAGGTGGTGAAGTTTTAAACAGCATTGGCTTTTAACATACTGTAAGTTCCCAGACTTCAGAAACCGACATCTTCTTTCAACGGCACAAAAAAAGCTACAAATAAACTATTATTGCAATAGGCACATTTATTTGAATATAACTGATTAAACACAGTTTTTACATGCTAAAGATCACTTAATAGATTCATGATTAATGAATTAATTATATAATTCTTAAACTAACCAAAAATGGTTGATATACCTAATTAAATACAAATATGTTCAATAAACAAGTTTTCATTGAAAGAAACATCTTCTGTTGCACCCAAAATAATAATAATCGAATAGCATTGTTTGTAGTATGGCCAGGACCAGTGGTCCCTCTAAGCTGAGTTAGTGTGAGCTAGCTCAAGGTTTTTTAGCCTCTGGCTTACACATTTTTGTCTTCGCTCAGGAAGGATGGCTCCAGAGCAAACTAATTTATGCAGTAGCCATATCGTTGACTCACACCTTTATTGCCAGTAGCTCACAAAGCAGCATTTTTGCTCACAAGACTTCACAGCTTAGAGGGAGGACTGGCCAGGAGATCCTAAGATTGTCTGGCAGCCTAAAGTTCTACATCTTTTACTGTTATGCACCACTAGGTGATGAGCTAGACTTTTTTTTTTTTGGCTGACAGAG